AGATAGAACCCTGAAACAACCTCTGGGCTGATCTAAGTCAGGGCACGGCTAACTCACAGATAGAACCCTGAAACAACCTCTGGGCTGATCTAAGTCAGGGCATGCAAACTTTTAACATTTGATGTCGCGTGTCCAGGTGTTTTCGACTTTATATTATTCAGGGGAGGGAGGAGTCTCAGGAGTGAATTAAGGACAAAAAGAAAATATAAGATTCCCTCACTGAAAAATAACTTTTAAAACTAACCATTTTCTTCGCTCGAAATATTTTGGTTAGTAAGGCTTCTTTGGTCTGCTCCGTCCAACTGCTCTGATCCACGTGAAACTTTTGAATTTTCGAGTTGCATGGTGCTCTGCTGCTGGTTAAATGGAAAACGAGTTCCAAAATCCATGTTTGCCAAAGTGGCAGCGGCTATGACAACTTGTGGCGACATTTCAGCGCGTGAGGTTTCGGAATTTTGAGTCGATTCTCCGCGGGAATTCTCCCGAAGATCCTGTATGCGATCCCGAGGGACTTCCAATGGAGACTTGAGGTTTTGTGAAGAGGCGGAGAGCGTTGTTGGGATACGAGTGAATGGGAATTTGGATGGATTGAAAACAGGCTCTTTTAACATGTATTGCTGGAATTGGCGGTCTTGGTCCTCCTGGAAAATAATATAAAATGAAATGAAATGAAATGAAATGAAATGATATGAAATGAAATAAAATGAAATAAAATGAAATAAAATAAAATGAAATGAAATAATAATAATAATAATAATAATAATAATAATAAAAAATACAATGAATGAAGATATCCCAAAAACATTGGAAGTAGTTTAAATTTCCAGAAATCTATGAAAAAAACCCCTCAAACTCCAGCCACTTGTACCTGTTGCAATATTTCCTTGGCTTTCTCTCTTGCTTCTAAATATTCTGTTGACGGCGGTTTTACAGACTCCTTTACTGGAACTTTTTCTTGTTTCTCTGGATATGACGTCACACCACGTGACTCGCCTTGAGACTCTGGAGTTATTTTAGACGAATCTCTCCGAGTATCAGACTCATCCCGACGTGAATCGTGGAAAATTCGCTCCTCGGTCGAGTTAGACTTCTTTTCTTTGGGAATCGAGTCTTCGTTTTTGTCTGCACGGGGCAGGTTGGGCTGACTTTCACGTGACTTGGGACGCTGGTCAGCGGTGCGTAAACTACGTTCGTTTTCTTCCTGCAAAAGGCGGCAATCACTGGTTAACGAAATTACACCCATTCATACTCGTCCTTTATTAAAGACACATAGCACTCTTAAAGCAAGATATTTTTTGGAGTCATTTTTTTGACCGTCGTAGGATTTTTTAAAAAAGCGTTTTTATCACCCAGAAAGACGAAGAGGCGCACGCAAACATAAGTAATGACTCTAACCATCGCTGACAGGATAATGTTGGATACATTGAGTCCCACAGAACGAGGAATGGTAAGAGTCGAGCGTCAAATGCTAGAAGCTGTCCCCTAAACATGACGTCCCGCTCATGTCTCTGCTGCCCGACATTGATATATAATTTACCTCCATTTGTATTGCTACGCAGCCACCCCAGACAAAAATCGCGACGTGCACTTTGCAATAGACTGCCGTCAATCAAACACGTTGACTCCACTTACACGCGTGTGTGATTCAAAAGGCGCCAAAACTTGTCGATTGTTTACAAGTATTATGAGCCACACTCACCGGGCCTATCCGGGTCGATCCAAACGCGTGTAAATGTCGTCAACGTGTTTGATTGACGGCAGTCTATTGCAAAGTGCACGTCGCGATTTTTGCCTGGGGTGGCCGCGTAGCAATACAAACGCCGGTAAAAAAAACCCGTGAATGATTGTGCTATTAGTGTTATCAAGCGCTTATTAGCAACGTTATTATTTTATCTAGTACCTAGCAAATCTATTATTTCAAGGGAGAAATGACACTTCAGGTTTGCAAATTTTCGTGATTCTGATTGTCTAATATTTGTTCTCAGATAAGCTGGTTTATTTATTTACTTTTTACCATTTATACACCAACGCATACACACCCACAAACACGTTATATGGCTGGGAATCCACTACGGCATGCGACCCGATTTTGATTTTTTTTCTTACCTTTCTCTGAGCTTCTAATTGTTTTTGGTAGAAAGGATAGACAGAGTACCCCTGCCATCTTCCTTGCTGCTGAGCGATCATCTCTTGTTTGTACTTCTCCAGCTGATGTTCGTAGAGCTGCTTCTGTTGCTGGTAGAATTGCTGCCATCTTGGATCTTCCATCGATGCCTGCATGCCCCAGAAGCGAGCAGGGTCGAGCATTAACTGTGACTCGGCTGCTGTTCAAAAAAGATGGCAGTTAAAATGATGATGATGATGATATTTATTATCATTATCTATCATAGCCATCATCATGACACCATTGCCATCATATCATCAACGCCATCATCATCGTCACCGTTAACAGCAGGATGATGATGATCATCATGATCATGATCATAATCATTATCATCACCATCATCATGACCATCATCATCGTCACAACCATAACCAACTTACCATCAATACCATCATCATTGTCACCATTAACAGCAGTATGATGATGATGATGATGATCATCATCATCATCACCATCGTCATCCCATTATCTTCACTAGTCTTCGTCTTAGTTATGTCGTGTTGTGCCATTTCAAACCACGTGTCATTCTCTTGAGAATAAGATTCTTTGTTTGAGTTGTATCCATATTCATGTGTCTTTTCATGCGCAACCGTTAAACAAAGAAATGATACTCAAGGGAATAACACGTGGTCTGAAATGGGAAAAAAATACGCTCAAGGTAGACTAGTGAAGAAGAAGAAGAAGATGATGGTGGTGGTGGTGGTGATGATGATGGTGGTGATGATGATGATGGTGATGATGATGATGGTGGTGATGTAGAGGATGATGGTGATGGTCAGGATGATGGTGATGGTGCTGATGGTTGTGAGGATGATGGTGATGATGGTGGTGATGTAGAGGATGATGATGGTGATGATGGTGGTGATGGTGATGGTCAGGGTGATGGTGATGGTGCTGATGGTTGTGAGGATGATGGTGATGGTGATGATGACGGTGGTGGGTATGATGATGATGATGATGATAGTGATGATAATGTTCTGGTGGTTGTGATGATGTGATGTGATATTGATGGTAATGATTGATAATCATTATCATGTTGATGCTCAAATATCAAAACTAATTGAACCCCCTAGATGACCGCTTTCGCTCTTGGGAAAAACGTTATGAACATACAGTCAATGTCATTAACGTTGTCCACCAAGAGACATTTACACATTTACACATTTACACATTTACACATTTACACATTTACACATTTACACATTTACACATTTACACATTTACACATTTACACATTTAGACTAAAAGAAATATCACGTGTTTCCTCGAACGTTCTGGCATAAGACAAACGCTGAAATACCATTCTCCATCTTAAATCCTAACTAAATGGTCGGGGCATTCTGGATTTTTGATTCACAAGTTAAATTTTACATTTAAAGTTCAGGCTGACGCACACGAGGCAAAGAATACATAATGAAACACGTGATATTTCTTTTAATCTAAATGTGTAAATGTCGAAATGTCTTTTTTCGGTGGACAACGTTAATGACATTGACTGTATATGTTTAACTAAAAAAATAACCTTACCTAGTGGAYTGAACATGTTGGGATTAATCATGGCCTCGGGTACAACCACAAGAGAACCCGTCAAAGGATCCTGCATGACAACACCTCCTCCTTGCGAAGGGTCCATCATATGTTGCTTATATAAACCACTATAGAACATGGCGGGGTCCACGGGTAACATAACTTGCATATCAGGCCTCACGTTTGAACCCATATACGGTGAATTCGTCTGGTAAGGCATGTTACCAGCCCCGTACATATACGCTGCAGCTTGTAAGCTTCTTTCGGCGCTTTCACGCGCTGCCAGATCATTATCATTCGTGTTTCTCCGAGGTGGGAAGTTTACTCCAAAAGGAGTTAGAAAAGGAGGGTTGCTAGAGCTTGAAGTGGTAGTGGCTGGAGAGGTGATGCGCGAGAGTCTAGGAGACGAAGATAATCGCTTTTCTTCGGTACGTATGCTTCGTTGTTGGCTATCTTTTTTGTCGTCGATGATTTTAAGGTCTTCATCGTCAGAGCCCTTACTACTCACATCACTTCGACTACCTTTATTTTCAAGCTTGTTGCTTGTTATTCTAGGATTTGTCTCGGGAGATTGATTCCTCGAATCCACCTCGTTATCTTTCCTTCCTTGTTGCTTTTGTCTCACATTGGATCCAAACTGACCGGTTCTTGCAGCATCACCTGATCTACAAGAAGCCGCCGCGCGCTCCATTTCAAGTTCTCGTTTCTCGAACATTTCTAACGTCGCGTTCGGCGGCACGAACACTTTGTCTTGACTGAGTGTTATTCTATTTGAAGCCCGTGGTCGTTCGCTTTGACTTGGGTATCCCGGGAACTGGTAAGTCCCAAATGACGAATTATTATTTCGGTCGTTATTCTTTTTCGTTTCGTCAACTGAGATAGCTCTGTTGTTATTCAATGTGTCAACAGTTCGCCGCGGATAATCCCCACCCGGGGTGCCCTCAGGAGCATTTTTCTCCTGTCCTTTGACTGCGCCTTCACGCATGCTACCATGCCGCTGACCTTCGTCTTTTTTGCTTGCAGCTTCGTAACCAGAAGGTAACTGATTTCGCTCGTTTGAGTCTGAAGAAACAGTAGCAACGTCTGAATGTGGGAGCCTTCCATTAGAGAAGTAATCAGAGACCTTTTGTGGGGTCTCGCGAACAGACACAACGTAGGCCATACCTTGGCGAGGATACACCGTCACTTTATCAGATTTTAAAACACATTTTCTGTCGTCTTTCACCTTATAGCGAACGTTTTCAGGCACAACTGGTTTTTCGTTCTTACTCAAGTTCGCCTGATTTCTGGAGGATCCATCTTGATTTGACACCACCGAGGATTTATAATTCGGATTTGTTTGTTCTTTTGAGTTTTTATTCGTTTCAGCACTTGGCGCTTTTGGAGCGTCTTTTGCGTACCGCGATGCAGAAGATCTATCAGGCGATATCGAAGATTCTTTCACAGAATTAATAGTTCGACTTCGAACGTCTTCAGTATCCTTGAAATTTTCTTTCTCGCTGGGTCTCTTAGGTTGAAACGTCCGTGCGTATCCGTAGCCCTGGTACGCAGAATGTCCAGGATAACGCGGAGATAATTCAGGAGGATTCCTTTCCCAGGCGTAGGGAAAATGCCGTTCTCTACTCGCGAAATTCTCTTGAGGACGAGAACTGCTCTCGTGTACAGAATGTGGAAGATAGCTTCCTCTTGTTTCTGGGGTTTCTTCAGTCCGGCTAGGATTTTCTCCCGCCGAAGAACGATGAGACACGAGTGCTTCAGAAGCCGACGTAAGAGGATAGTCCTGCGTCAAATACCCCATAGGGGGTCTCCATACCGACCCAGACATAGACTGCCTCTCGGTGACCTCTGCTGTGGAATTGGCGGGAAAATTAGGACACGAGAAACCTCTTGGCGCGATTGGCGTCAATTTGGGCATCGATGCATACATATTTGACGAAGTTGTAACAGTCTTTTGATAGTCCGTATTTGGAGTATAATCCCCCGGGTGAGATACCGGGGTAAGAGACTTCGTGTAGACAGATTGTGTTGGATATGAACTGAAACCTCCGATCGTTCTCTCCGAGCTCGACATCTCAGTCATTTGCTTCGATGTCGTATTACGTAAGTCTCCGTTCGTTGTGGCCAGCGGGTTCTCCAGTTTGTCACGTGATCCCCGATAAATGTTCAAGTTTCTGGACGATTCAAGTTCTCCGTTTCGATCGGTGAATTGTCGAGTGTATTCGTCACTGGAAGGTCGTGATTGTCTTTTGTCGGCAGGCTCTTGTTTTCGCGAGTCTGGTCGGTCGGTAGCAATCTTTATGACACTTTCTGTTCGAATGGGTTCTTTGGGATCTCGTGCAGAGTCGGGCCTGAAAGTGATAGATAAAAAGATTATCAAACCGAATGAATGAATGAATGAATGGACAGATAAACTAGCCCATGCTAGTGTCAACCACCAACGAAAAACACTCGCAAACAACACACGAATGAATGAAAGAAGGACAAACAAACAAACCAACGAACCACCGAAAAACGCACTGCGCATGCTCTGAAGTTTGGCGGGAAACTCGTACACGCGTCGTGTTTACGAATAAAACCATTGGATATTTAATGGCGTTGGGAAACCTTTTAAGGCTTTAAATATTTAACGTTTCGTGTTTATTTTTTTCCTAACACACCACTTTAGTTGTTCTTTCCCCTGATCAAGTAATACGAGAGAAATTTGTATAATACAAACGTCGTTGTTTTACACGATAAAGAATTCAATTCACAAGAGCAAAGGGATTTTATTGGTCTGCCATCTAACCACAGGCAGCCCAAGCTGGATTGTGGCGCCGGCACTTGATGGTGCAAAACCTCTATTGATGGGATGCAAGCATTCCCAAGAGAGTCAAAAGACAAAAACATGGCGACCATCGTGGTACCGTTAACAATGGATGCTAATGAGAATCTTTTGTTAAATGGTACCAACATGGCCGCGATGACGTAACGTGCAAACGAAGAGTCAGATGGCCTGTGTAGAAATGTCAATAAAGCTATGTAACACTACTAACCTGTCTGCTGGGGTACTCGTCGACGATCTGTTCTCGCGCATGTCTTCACCATTAGCAAGCCGCTGACCATAAACACCAGGGTATCCAGGAAAACCAATCATTTGGGGTCCGTAGAAAAAATTGCTTAAAGCTCGAGGATCCATGGGGTTTGTCATGTATGGTAAACCCATACTTGCTCCTGGACGAATTGAAAATAGGGATGGTTAGCGACAAGCATGATGAGAATCGAAAAAAATAGGCGCTCAATAAGCGCATGTGGCTACTGCCATAAGAAATTTGATGATTTTGATGATTTATGATTCATATAGCGCCTTTCTATATGAATATAATCAAAGGCGCTTTAAATTGAGTTGTGAATGACAGATTGCTTTTATGCAATTTACAAGCATGAGAGATGTATAGTATGAAGTGTAGGCACTGAGGGTGGTCACTGCCAGGGTTTCTTTACGTCCTCAGTGGTTCTTTTACGTCCCTCCGATATTGGTTAGTAATGATGAGTGTGGAGAGACGGGACCGCCATTTAAAGTGGTCATCCGAGCCACTTGAAAGGCTAACCATTTGCAGATGTGAAAAAAGGCAGCACTTTTTCCTCAGTTATTTTAAGACCCTGAGYGTTGGTCCGGCCGGGACTCGAACCACGACCTCCCGCACGAAAATCCGATGCTCAACCAACTGAGCGGAAAGGATTGGAGGAAGTTGGTAGCCGACTATTGAGATATATGAAGGATATATAGGTAGTTGAATTAGCGATTTTGGTGAAAAAAATGTAAATGTTAAAAGTAAAAGTTTTTGTATATACAACGAAATGTTGATATTGATTTTGAGTTTAAGGGCTTAGAACAAAACATACATTTCCCATTACCAATGTTAATTTATGTGTTTGTGTGCTTTGTAAGATTGACATAGTGGCTTCGCCTCTACGAGGCAATAACCACAAAAATACTATTAGCCATTATTACTATTTATACTATTATTAGCACATATAGCGCGCGTGTGGCCACATTATGAATGATATTTTTTTGAACTTCTCAATTATCCCTTTATATTTGATAAAGAACGATTCCTTTTACTCTGATGAACAGAAATACAGCGTAGTTAATATTCAGCATAATAAGTACGTCAGGTAAGTGGAGAGAAAAAGTTTCACGTGACATTATTTTCTCGATTTTTCTTTCTATCGTTTTCGTATGATCTTTTTCCTCTACACTCTTCTTCTCTTCCTTTATTATTTTTTATCCGTATTTTTCACGCAAATCACCAACTGTGTCGACGTCTTTCTTTCTCTCATTCTCTCTCTCTTTCTTTCTATCATTCTCTCTTTCTTTCTTTCTATCATTTTCTCTTTACCTGTTTCTTTCCCTCTTTCTT